TATATATATATATATATATAAAATTATAATGTCTTGTTTCCAACACTAAAATTATAAATAAAAAATAAAAAATTTGATTTCAGAAATTCAAACAAGCTTATGACTGCTATATATTAATTAACATAGGACTACGAAGGTTATAAAATAGAATTCGTTTTAACAGCGATACATAACTAAAGCATTGATTATAATAAATCCTACTTTAAATAAAAAAATGTTCAAAATATTTTTCTAACAGATTCTTCATTTTATATAATTTTTATTCAAAATTTATGAATTGCACACATATTAACATTTACTTACTCATTCTCTCCTTCTATATTTTTGTAGCGCATCTCAAAGAAGTTTTCTTCATTACTATCCAAAAAAGTAAGGAATGATATGTTCAACGCATAGTGTCCCTGCATTAGAGCTTTTTCGAAAGTAAAACTATACATATGGTTTTCATTGTAATGTGCAACTATATCCGGTACAATTCCGTAATATGTTGAATTTTGTTTATGCACAATGATTGTATCTAACTCTATATATGGTTTTTGTGCGTGCAAATATATTGTACGCGATGAAAAAAGCAGTCTGATAAAAATAACGCAAATACCACGTAAGAATTCTTTGTTACTTTCTTCATCCTGTTGTTCTAATGTAATTTCATAGTGATCTACTTTCACGGAATTCGGTAACTCAACTCCGTATTCGCTCCTATCAAAATATTGATGAATATAAAGGGATTTTGCGTAGTTTAATATTAGTATAAGTAATAACGGTTTTAAGAGATTCATGCTGCAACCTTCGATTTATTTTATCTGTAAAAATATTTCTTTATTATAATAAAGCAAATATTAATGTACAACATAGATTAATCTTTATCATAATTTTTATATAAAATTGTTAAATGAACAATTGCACAATATTTAATAGATACAATATATTAAACACTTAATAACAAATTATTGAGTATAAATATAAACAAAACATTGTTAATGTTATTCGATAACATTTAATTACATTATTTTTCATTATTTTTTAAATTTATGCTTAACATAAAAAGTCTTTGTTTCATTCTTCATTGTCGAAATCAAATTAAAATAATATTACATAATAGCTAATATTACATAATAGATAAAATTTATTTCTATAACTGTTACAGGCATAAACTGTATTATATAAATTATATATAGAAGTATAGAATAGTATAGAATAATAATGTATTAAGTGCAGAATAATTTTGTTAATTAAATAATAATACAAATTAATAATTAATAATACAAATATGTCAATTTAAAATTAGCAAAATATAAACGAAGCAAATTTTAACTACAAAGTCTGAGATATAATTGAAAAGTATAGGCAATAGCAACAGAGAATAACACACGGAGAGAATTTTTTCTTAGAGTTTATCTTAAAAATATGATATATGATATAGTCGTGGGACAACATTGTATTTCGAAGAATTTTAATGTACATTTCTTTCATTCATTAATTAATAAAATTACAATAATGTATAAAATAAGTTCAATTAATTTTACTGAAGTGCATGATAAAAATCTTTAAAATATTGTTTTGTACTACAACTATCATAATCATTTCAAAGTAAATTTTATAAGAAAATTCTCTCCGTGCAGATTTTAATCTATCAAAAACTATGTATATCAAAATACATTATTGAAATCTATTATTTTATGTTATTTTTCTGAATTGCTTCTTTTCAATTGTGATTTAAGTTTAATAAATCATTTTCAATTACATTTATATAAATAGATATTATTCCAAGAAAACAATTAAGTACAAAGTTAAAAAGTTAAAAGTCTGAATCATTGTAAACAACTAACGTTATGCTGAACATGATTTAAACAGAACTAATATATAATATACAATAAAATAATATAAAAGATTGATCAATGCAATGAAATTCATTATAATATCACAAGAATATTAAAAGAATAAAAATTGATCGTCACCATCAATAAAATTAATAGAATTTGAACTGATTCTCTTTCTCGGCCTTGCAGTTATGAATTTTACCTAAATATATCTTTCTAGGTGTGGAAGAAAGAAAGAGAGTCAGTCCAAACTCAATGGAACTGAAACTTATAATGTATTAAACAGATCAATTGTTTTACACTTTTACTTTTATTATCATTACAGCGATCAATTTTTATTCTTTTAATCTTTATGGCATTTTATTTTATTGCGTTGACTCCATTATATTATTTTAATTCTGTTTATATTCATCATATATAGAATAAATCGTTAGTTGTTTAAATAAAAGACCTAATTTTGTTCTTAATTATTCTCTTAGAATAATATCTATTTAAACAGATTAGAAGAGACTTAGCATAAAGTTTCATTTATATTTTGTTAATTTTAAATTGACATATTAAATTCTTACAATATTATTATTAATAAAATATCTATCCTTTGCACATATTTAATCATTTAAACATATTATTACATTGTTTTATAATCACGAGCAGAATTTATTGCTATAATTTATTTGTATAAAAATCTGTAATAATTTAATCTTAATATAATAATATAGTAATAATATAGTAATAACTTAATTTTAAAAAATATGCAATTGATACTGATAATTGCATGAAGATAACAAACAGAACTGCCTTTGTTTTCAGTAAATTATTTGAATAACACAAATTATTTAAATAACGTAAATTATTTAAATATGCTTTACATATTTTGTTGTACATTTAATTAAATTCTGTAAATTTTTTCTTTTTTGAAACTTACCCTGTATATGTGTTTAAGATAATTAAGGTAAAGGCTTTGTAATAATTAACAGTAGCTAATGAATATTATCAACGAATTTAGCATGATTACGATCTTGCTAGTTTGAAAGGGCACTGCAAACTGATGATGATTCTTTCAATATTGATATTATAATAAGTATTCAGTGTAGCACTGACTAAGGTTATTAATAGATGTCATGATGGATGATAGACGTTATTATGTTGTATTCATATTTAATCGGCAACTAAACCTATATTTCTAATCTTATGTTTTTTTCGGAAAATGTTTAAAAAAGTAATATACAAATTATAGTCTGTAATTTACTTAATACTTCAATTTACATAATATCTTGTATAACTTTAAAAAGTATCCAATAAGAAATATTTCTACGTAACTATATTTTTTAATTGATTTCATATCGAATAGAATCTTGCCACCGTATTAGTGGTTCTGACGGTGCCAGCATCGCAGCCAAATACGTGGCATGATTCTAATCCAACTAGCAATCCAGCTGAAAAACAAGCATCGTAAACCGCCGGCTTAAAACGATTAAGATAAATATTTTGTAATGTAACAGTTAACAATAGCTAACAAACATTATCACAACGAACTGTTAATAACGGAAATATTTTAGCATACATTACAATTTTGTAAGTTCAAAAGAGCACCATAAACTGATGATTATTGTTTTAATATGATGTTTTAACATGTATTCAGTTAGCATTGTGTCAATGATTAAGTTCATTAATAGATATCATGATAATTGATAGTTGCTATTATAATAGGTATGTGTATTTTAAAATGGACAAATAGATTTGCAATTTTTCTACCTTTGTACCCTTTTCGAAAAATATTTAAAGAAATAATCAAGAAATTGTCATAATTATATTTCAATTTATATTACGTAATATTTTGTATAATATTAGAAAATATCCAAAATAAAGTTTTCTTCGTGATTATACTTTTTGATCGATTTTATAGCATCTAACAACTATATTGTTAAATAAAATTATTATTTAAAAAAAGATAAAAAAAGATAAAAAAATACGCGCTTGTTGAAAAATAATTGTTTATATTTAAAACACAAAATTCAGTACCTTCGTATACTTTCATTTATTACTGCTTATATTCCAATTCAAGTGGTAGAAATTTTAATTCTTTAAAAAAAAAAAAACAATGATGTTGCGTAAATTAAAACAAAGTATATAAAATAATATTTTCTAACTCAACTTAATAGATATATTCTCAATTTTCCACTGAAGAAGAATTCTGTTTCATCCTAAATGATAGTGCTTTTTTGTTTTATAACTTAAAATATTTAATATAAAATATTTAATATAAAATAGTTAAAATATTAAATAAAAAGATATTATTAAATATTATAATAAAATAATATTATAAAATATTTAATTTTAAAAAACTTGGCGCTGCTATCTTACTATTTGCTCTAGCTCAATGAGCGGTTATACATATATTCATGATCGTACCGACATTCTGCTGCGAGCTCCTGGTGT